GAAAATGACAACATTTTGGATTACAGAAAGTTGACATGATTTTACTGAACTGGCTTTTTAAGTGATTGTTTTCGTAAAAATCTTCCAAATCCTTAAAAAGTAATTTCCATTTCATGATTAATACCAACTACATTTTACCTACCAAAGTATTATAAACACTCACAGAGCAGAAACAACACATAACACAAAGCATGAGCTAATATACATTAATGATTTTATAATTATTTCCAGAATTATTAAAGGTAGCTAGCTACATGTTTCATCCTCAAAAATTCATTACTATGACAACCTGCCACACAAATTTACACACACATTTAATAGTGAAGTAAAATAACTAACTAACTCCCTGGTAGCAGAACCCGTAGGTCCAACACCGACAACATCAAAGCCCGCCACCAGCCATGATCCTGAGCCAATTCCATCCATTTCACATCCTCTCAGCCACCTACCTAAGATCCATCCTGATGTTATCCTCCCATCTCCTTCATGGTCTACCAAGAAGGATTCGCTACCAAAATTCTGAATGCAACTGTTCTCCCCCCCACCATGCATGCTACCTGTCCAACCCATCTTAGCCTTCTAGATTTCACTATCCTCACTATGCTAGGTGACCTGCACAATTCACACAGTACCTCATTATGCAGTATTCTAAATTCCCCACTTATTTAATCCCTCCTAGGTCCAAATACATTCCTGAGTACCTTGTTTTCAAACATTTGTAAGTAAAATAAACAAACTAAATCAAGAAATTCAACAGTAATAGAAACCATGGTCAATACTACAAATACTAATACCATCCATCACTAGACATGATTTGAAGCCAGTTCCAGCTTACTTGAGTCCACATTTCATAAGACATTTTCCTAAGATTTATTTAAATACTACCTTCCCATCTGTGCCTAGGTCTGGCAACTGATCTCTTTCCTTGAGGTTTCCAGACCCAAATTTTGTATACATTTATTATTTTCCTGTGTATTCTACACATCCCACCCATGCTACAATTCTTTATTTAATTTCACTAACATCTTATTCAACACTTTGCTCTGAAACACCCTCAATTTATGCCCTTATCACCACATAACAGGCAAGCATGCTGCATCTTTTAAAGTAGTCCTACTTTATGGCTTATGTATGGCTTATGCATACGTTGAACTAAGAGAATGTTCTGGCAACAATGTCACGTCTGTGTAACTATTACATATTGTGTGACAAAACCACCACTTTCAAAATATAAGTTAAATTAAAGTTCAGTTCTTTAGTTATGATATTCATTTGTGTTGAAAAATGCAGAGTATCAACCCAGTTCAGTGACTCTAAACCCCATAACCAAACAAACAATGTATTTAGTATCTATTTTAAACTATTTATTTTCAATTTGTAACTATACACAAAATTATAAAAATTCTAATATTACTAGTAATGCATAAATTGGTAACAAAATTGTTTAAAGAATATCAGTTTTATTCCAAATTTAAATCACACACAAATCACCTGACTTAAATGAACCCCATTCATTTCATTCTGTGTTGTGATGCAGTGCATATTGCTATGAACTTATCTAAACAAAAATATGTTCCTCTGTTTCTCATGGTAGGTCTGCAAAATAATTTTCATCATGCAGGTAAGCTAAATTATGACCTCAGAGAGAAATTTTAATAACTCATAAGATATATTTAATTTATACAGAAATTATTTTACATCCCCGAGAAAGTATTTTCTCTGTGTTCTGTATTAATTGTCATCATTTCACAATTTCATAATTCCATTATTTTATGTAATGTTATTGTGTATATCTAATGTGGTCTTAAATGTTTGTGACAATGATCCAGTATCATCACTGGAGTCTCTCTCTGGACACTGCTCAGAGTTTGGTTTCTTTGCCACAACCACCAGATTGGCTCTACAACCCGCCCAACTGCCTAACCTATGGTTCCTAGGGATAATTCCTTTGAGAGTAAAGTTACTATGGCATGAAGATAACCACTCAACTTCATCCAGTGTCAAGGTTAAGAATGTGCAAAGCTATACTCCACTTCCCCATATGTCTGTATGGTATGGTGCTTAGTTAAGTACCATGGACAACTTCTCTTTACCTTTGTCATTTACAGACTTCACACTTATCCCATATCTGACTTGTAAGTACTCAACAGACTGAGTATGCTTTCCTTCTGCCTGAGGATGGAAGTAAGGCCGTCCTCCAAAACAATTTTACATGTGAATTGGATATGTGGAAGTAAAAGGCTCTCAGGAATGTATAATAGTATACTTTCAAGTGGATAATTCTGCATCTCTGACCTGGGTAGAAAAGTCACAAATTTAGTTCCTCTCACAGCAAAATATTTTTTGTTCAAAGACTTCTCAAATCTGTGAATCCATACTTACAAGGGCAGGGAGGGAGAAAGATAATGAAAGAAATGTTAGGACTTATTCAGAGAATTAATAACAACATAAGAACAATAATGAAAAATGATAAGAGCAATAAATGTGAAGAATTTTTCAAATTTTGAGAAACTATAAAAAAAATATTAATTTTAAATGAATAGTAACACAATGCTGGAGACCTACCATGAAAATTCAACAAACCATATCTATATATAATCTGCATAAGAATATTATGAACTTCTAAATTTTATAGACTCACATCAAATTTTGTCATCTCCACCAACAATGTGGAACTGTTAAGTAATTTTAAATTAGAATTATTATTATTATTATTATTATTATAACAAACACTTGTAACAAACCTTAATTATATCTACACATAAACTATTCATATTCTCATAAACTATAAAGGAGAATAATAACTGGGGAACAGTATATGAATCTTATCTTAAAAATGTCATATTCTTAAACCTCCTTATTATCACACTTGTTCTACCACTGATCCCCTGGACTGGACCTACTCTTCACCTGTAGGACCTGGAAGAAAACATCTCAGTGTTAGTGAAAATCTATCTTCAGTGTTACTTTATAAAAATATGTTTCACTACATGATATTATGGTGTATGAAAATGTTTCTATTTTTTTGGATGGTATGGGGTAAATATTGTTTCTGCCTACTGTAATAGTTATTATTTAAATCAGTATAACCAGAATTAAAATGTCTGCTGGAGACAATACAGTTTCACTACAATTTCTTAAAATTATAACAATGAGGTTCTGTGTTTCCATCCCCAATACTGCAAAATAGGCACATTTGCTAATTCAGTACCAAATTAGTTTTTATAACAATCTCAGCAAGTTCTGAATTAAATTTCCTTAATCAATAAAATTACGCATGTCTAGTGTGTTTATGAAATTCAATGTAACATTCATTTGGGCATATATAGTGTCAAAATAGCACTCAACAACACTGTAATAATTTACCTTTAAATTCAATATGTTCTGTAAATAATACAAATATCAATAAGTTTTGTATAAAACCCAATATTACAAAAATTAATACTACCCTTCAGATCAAATTTAAAACTACTGCTGAGCAATATAACATGATATGAGTAATAAATATAGAAATATATCAAATGGTATCAATGAAATTAGACACATAAAACACTTTGAATTAGTTTGATGTAACAGCTACATTGGTGTGTTTATTGCAGACACTTAGATTGTAATCTCATGCCTCAGTGTATTCTTGTCTCTTACAGCCTCTGTGACCTGTGAAAATATTTCTGTTAAATCCACAAATTTTATAAGAGAATGTTACCAATTATAACAACAAAAAATTGTTCTTTTATATCAGTAAATTCTGGAATAAGAAAAAGCATAACAATGAGTCTTTCTATACCACTTTCTATTAAAGTGACTTAATCTAACAGGCAACAGAAGATACATAGTTGGTCTGATAAGTGCACACTTAGTAACTGCAAGAGATGAAAATGATGCAACTTTATTGTGTCATCTGTTAATTCTGATGCCGAGATGCACAGATTCTGCCACTCAGTTTGGTGGCTTACGGGACACTAGTATCTGACTTGTCTCAGTACTCACAGCATCCACTGTTCAAGTACTGTTACAAAAATTTCATTTTAACAGGAAATTTGTAAATAGTTGCATCAGTATCAACCTCTTACATAAGTTCTATTTACATGTAAATAAAACTACTGGTGGCAAACTTCAATAAACATACAACGATGAAGGAAGCATGGACAGACACAAACACCGATACATGTGATTTAACATGAAGCCCATTTATGTGATGCTGATGCATGCTTACAGAAGAATGTTTTTACATGCAAAGAAATATCTCACCCTCTCACAGTCTAGTGAGTTTCAGCTTTATGGTGCACTGCAGAAACAGGTGTCTCCCTCAAAGATGATATCTTTTCTCGGCAGTGGAAAAGTGTTAAAAAATATTATTCAGAGTCATCATGCAGTGAAACCAGACTTCCGAATGGATCTTTCTTTGTGTTGTCTGTTTGCTTATTAGAACTATGAGTGCCAAGAGGATCTGTTATTTTGTGATGGTCAATAAGGTCCATTTTCCTAGTCAAAACTGGACTATGACAAAGACTTCCAGGAGAAGAATCCAGTATCTCATTGTCTGGAAAAGGACCACTTCGGATTGGTAATAAAGCTGAATCAGCACTTATGCTTTGAACAATACGTCTCTTCCTATCACCTTTTATCCCAGTGGTAACTTTTGATGATGGAGAATGATTCCCTGTTTCCTCAGGGTCATGGGAAGAATTAACACCTTCACCATGGGGTAAAGACATGTTGCTGTCAAAGGATTCAAAGACAGTCACAGGCTTGTTTAAAGGTAATTGATACGGACTGTTATTGACAACTGACGACTCATTGTTATGAACTGCTTGTCCAAAAAACATCTTCCTGTCAGGTAACACTGAGGATGTAATGATGCCATAAGTGTCAACACCTGTGATCTGAGAAAATGAAGCTGGCCTTCTCTGTGAACCAACTTCAGATAATGGAGATTCTGTTGTTACACTTCCAACAGGAGTAGCTGACATCTTTTGAAGTATATGTGAGTTGCCATCTTCATTTTGAATGCTGCACAAGAATGTAAAGAAAATAGATAAAATAATACTATACAAAGCAGGGGATAAAGAATTAGATAAAAAACCAGAGAACATGAAACATCCAAATGTTCTTTTAGCCAAATACAACACAGGACAGACCATTCAATGTATGAGCTTACTCAGAAAGTTCCTTGAGTTTGTTCCTGTGAACAGAAGAGTTGCTGTCTGCAGATCCTGTAGACCCACGTGTTACCTTGCCATTGTCCCATGAATTGTGTCGTCTGTGGCTCTTTTCACGGTAAGACTCGGCAATGTTCATCATGCTATATCGGGAAGAAGGTCATATATGAGCAACGCTGTAATTCCTTCGTCCATGTGGATATACGTCGCACATTAAAATCAGATTTGAAGCAGTGGAGACAAAGTTTATACACAGTATTAAGAAATTAACAAGAAAGGATAAACATGAAATCTGAACTTTAGACAACATTTGAGAATAGAAACACTACAAGAAAAATTGATTAATTAAAAGATTAAATATGGACATGTATCATGCATGAACAGCATAGAAATGCATATGTGAAATTTATGGTCATTGGTAAAACTAAGGATTGGTTGAAGAGGCATTATGCATGAAAATATCAGATGACTGCGTTTGATTATCGCTGCAATAGACGGTCAACTACAGCCTATAGGACTAAGCAAACAAATCACTACACATCTGTAAGACCTGTCAAATTGACTTTGAAAATAAACATTTTTCTACTAGTTGTTGGACAGACTTGGTTATACTCCGCACCTGTTTCCAATGCTTCTTTTATCTAGCTCCTTCTGTATGGAATCTGGAAGTCGATGAGGCGGCTTTGCCGATTTCCTTCCTTCCATTATATCTTGCTGCAACAGCATAACATGCACATGTGAGGAGCATAATGGGCAGGCATTCAATTCCTGGCAGGGGCATTCACACACACACATTAGATCTGAGGCCCACCCAGTTCCATCATCAGTGGTTATCGGAAACTTTCTCCCTAGGCATAAAGCAGACAAGAAACTTAAAGGAATTGCTCCTATTTTGCCATAGGTGATTACTGGAAATTTGTTTCTATAAGAACAGCACAGATCAGCTTTCGGTGCTCCGAAGGAGTAATGACGGATGCGAATAACATGTCTCTTGACAGCGATCGATATACGTAACTCTGCTGAGTTTCTACATGCATTCTTCTACTCACTTTGAAACGTGGTCCAGGCAGTATGCTATTGGTCGATCCACCTAGAGTGCTAGTAAGGCTTCCATTTAGAGGGTTCACCCAGATATTTGTGGACTCTAGCTCTCCGTTCGCTGACATGTTCATCATTTCAGCAGAATAGGTTGGTCTAGCTGGTATGATGGGTGAACGACAACACACACTGCAAGATATACCAGTAGAGTAAATCAGAAGGGGCAGACCACATATAACTCACAATAAAATATTTTATGAACTGCAATGCAAATATCAAAACAACAAAAATTATAAAGAATTAGAAAGCATTGTTTATGCATACATACGTATTTCACAGTAACAGACGACCTAATGTAAACTTTATCTTAGCGTGACGCTTTGTGGAGAAGTGTTCAGTGGTACCAAAGGCTGAACTGTACCAGAACTTACGAGTTTACGTCTTCCAGTTTCTTGAGCAGGCGCTCGTTCTCTCGACAAACAAGCTCCTGGTCCCGGAAGACGATTTCCCTCGTCGTGAACAGCTCTGCGTTCTCCCTCCGGAGTGCTTCGTTCTCCGTCACGTAGTGCCTCACCAACTCCGCCAGCTCCTGGCCTTCCATCTCAGCCAACTTTTCCAGCTGGACAGTGGGAGGCGTCTTCAGGACGAGGCGACCTGTTCCACAAGTTCAAACACCAAGCTCAAGTCTTGCCACCTCCTTTTAAATCTACGCCATGAATAGTTCTTTTCTGACGATACTAATAAAAATGTAAGTATGTGTGACGTTAAATATAAATTCGTCTGAGGCAGATTACGAAATGTCAAGGTTCGATAAAAACCTGCTTAAGGCTGATTGACTAAATCAGAGTTGATAAGAAACCAGCATACGGCAGACGGACAGACATCAACGTACGACAGAAACTCGCTTAAGGGCCAATATCGGAGTTTAAACCTTAACAAAAACCAATTCTAATTGTGAATTACGGACACTAGCCAATAGTGATTACTCGAGTTTAAAATTTAACAGACATTCACAGTTTCCTTTTAAATCTTAGTCACTACTCAGAATACGAAAACTGTAGCCAATTATGCGTAGTGATACAAACCAATACCACCGGATAAAATTCAGCCAAACTCTTTTTTTCACTACATTAAGTACGCAGTCGGTTTCTCCGATTACATTCTTCCCCGATAAAACCCTGGTAAGCTTAAGCAGGCTTCACGCATAACACACGCGTCGGAGAAGTTGCCGCAGTGTCACGGCGAACATACAAGTATAGCCCCGATTTACACTGAACTGCATTCCTGAAAAACGTCGTGTAACGCGAAAACGAATATATCTAATATATTTTACCACAGACACGACGTTAAACTGTAACTTACGTTTCTAAACAAATGTTTCACATTGTATAATAAATTATTTTTAACTTTTCTGGTTACCTGAAATTGAAGTAACTTACAATAATTACTTCTCGGTCTACCCTGAGAACGAGGACGAAGATGGTTCTCGAAACTTTGACGTTTTCTCCATTAAATCACTTTACACTATCGGTAGCCCGAGAAGAATTCGTTATACTTAGTCGCCGTGGGAGCTTGAGATCATGAAATAACGTAGTAATAACACAGAAAGGAAACTCACATATCTGGAAAGGCATTAAAACTGAGTTACAATTTTTAAAAAGTATTCTGCCAACATGATATATGCTATTACTATCCATTAATTAGCAGCGCAGGAAAACTGACTTACGCGAGGGAAAGGGTGGAACCACGCTTCAGAAATTAGTCGGAGTGACTGAAGAAACAAACGCAACGTTTGAGCAAGGTGAAACACCTAAGAAGGAAACGCGTAAAAGTCGCCTGATTGTAGTAAATAGTGATTGAATGTCAATATATTGACAGATTTATTATTGTTTTCGGCCAAGTGATGGCAGTTGGAATCTGCCCCGAAATCTCTTCAACACTAGAGCACCAGAACACCAGGGAGGTCCATACTGTGACTCCTCTTACTTACCCTGCATGAAGTTGCTGGCTTCCGGGTCCGAGCTGGCAGTTCCTGGTGGCTTCTCCTGTGCGAAGTTGATGGCTGCCCGCAGGTGGTCGTTCTCGTTCTGTAGCGCGTTCACTTCTCGCTTCAAACTCAGGATGAGAGCTTCCCGCGGATCCTAGCAGTGGAGAGAGTCGAACCGCACTAGAACCATCACTTTCTTTGGACGGCTAACCAGTTACATCGACACTAACTGACATTCGCTTCGATGAACTCCGTCACGTCTCAGATTAACTCTCCGAGTTACAAAACATCAAATGTTTGTGTTTACATTTTAGAACGAGGAGGCATAACATATTTTGTTTTGTTAATTAAAAGTAAAGTTTGTCCCGCTATGCGCCATGTAGGCGTTTGGGGGGAGAGGAGGTATAGCTCCTCTCTTCCTTGACCTCGGCACTAGATGGGGGGTGAGTGGTCAGCATTACGCCCCGGCCGGCTTTACCCCCGGGAAAGGACCCCGGTACCCATTGTAGAGGAGGCTGGGTGGGCCCCAGAGCCGGTCTGGACGCAGAGGCTAGAGGAAAAATCCTCTGCCCCCGTCGGGGATTGAACCCCGGTCGTCCAGCCCGTAGCTAGTCACTGTACTGACTGAGCTATCCCGGCTCATGTTTTGTTAATTATTAATTACTAAATATTATTAATTCATAATTAAAACAATTTTAACACACTTTTTCTTAAAGCCGTTGTTATTCTAAAAACTCAATTTTATGTTATTCTAATTATTATTAATTCATAATTAAAACAATTCTAACACACACGACTTATTCTTAAAGCTGTTGCTATTCTAAAAACTCAATTTTATGTTATTTCTGAGAACCGCATAATCAACAGAAGTGGACTTTTTGTGTCTTTATTCGAAAACACTAACTTACTTTATTTTGATATTATCCTGGCGTCAGCAAACTGAAATTTTATTTTATTATCTTAAAAATACTCCAATCCATCATTTAGGAGAACACGAAACGAGCGTGTATAGACTTTATTCAAGCAATAAACTTTGTTTTATATATTCTTCTACAAGGCATCTATGGAACGTAACATACCAGTTAAGTTAAGAACAATAATTAGCAAAGCTTAGTACAAATTAATTTGCATCTGCAGTAAATTAGCATCAAACCCAATGAAATTCGAAATATCGCAAGTGACGGGTATAAACAATGTAAGACTTGCACGAGTAACCATTAATTGCAAAATACATGTAATACAGCGTTCCTATATTTTATTTTGTGGTTCCGAAATTTTATCTCTGAGAAAGGACCAGTATAGTTACGAAGTATTTGAACGCAAAGAGTTTCAGAAAATATCTGGACCTAAGAAACAAAGATCGACAGAGAAGACGATTCGAGAACACAAAGGCACGTGTTGGCGGGAAACCCTTAAAGACATTTATAAACTCACAAACTTCATCAGACGACGAAAGTAACTCACCATCACGACGATTGGCTTCGTCCTTATCTTCTTCGCCCTGGCCGCGTATCGCAGTGTATTTATCGTCTCGCTAACATTCGACCGTGCTGGGGAAATGCACGCGATCTGTAAACACAATTGATCGATCGATGGATCGATTGATTGATTCTTAATTTATTTAATAGAAACTTGTTAACTGTTCGAGATATGTAGCAGAGTCAAGTTCTGAACACTGACCATGAGGGTCACGCCGTTGCCAGCCAGGCTGTCTGCCAGGAGTTTCGTCAGCTTGCTATCCCGGTACGGGATGTGTCCTCCTTTCTTCCGGGAGTCGCTGAGCGAAGCAATGCAGTACCCTAGAACACCGCGAAAACAAATTTTCATTCCGGCGTCGTTAATATAAGTTCACAATTTAACCCGCAGGAATACGCTCGCCTTTATTAAATCCAAATATCTCGCATTCTTCCGATTAAATTATTCAAAGACACTAATTTCTTACATACAGACCTAATAGCGAAAATTACGTAACCTAACACCATCTCTACCTTGCGCAGAGGATAAACACCGCGAGATGGATGTTTACTGGGACAGAATGCATGAATTTCATGATTACTGTAGCTAGAGATCTTAGTTTAAAGAAATCTTTCGATATCATAAGCAAACGAACGTTTTGTTTTGAAGCTCGGTTAACGCGACTTCGAAATTCTCTTAAAAGTGAATAGGACAAGAATTATTAAATATACACGAATTCTTTTAACACCTTGGCCCTGACTTTTGCTTTCGACAAAGGGATTTTGAAATATTGATAAAGTGTCTCGGTTTGTCACTGCCAGTTCGGTCAGATGTCGGAATAGGAAGGGGAGTTGTAAGAAACTGTGGGTCCAGTATCGTGGTTAAGTTTTTCATTAAAATTGCAAGTGACCGCGCTTTGACATGCGATACGTTGATGGAAATGGCTCCAGTAGAGAAGTCGGGTCAACTTGGCTGAATGCCATTCATAAAATGTTACTGCCTTTAAACTGTAAGTTTTCAATAAATTCGTCATGTCCTTCTGTCCCTAATGCTCTTCCTTACTTATCTCCTTCCTTTTCTTTTATTAAGTCTGTCTATACCTTCTCCTTACTCTATTTCTTCCCTCGTTTATCCTTCGCCCTTCTTATATTTTCAATTCCTGTTCTTCATTAAGTATGTTTTGTTTTTATTTATTCACTTTTAACTCGACTCTTAAAATTACTATCGATAATAATCTAAACGTCACATGAAATTTTATGCCCTTAAGCGCGTCCAGAACACCGCGGATCGCGTATTAAAATCTCTCTGACCGTCTGTCCGTATCCGTGAAACAACTCGTGAAAGGATAAATCAAATTTGAACAAATTTAAGTTTACAGACCGATCGCCCTGATGATGGAAGCATCAAGGACGTCTGAAACGTCGGTAAACGTCTACCAGACGACAACCAGAAGACAGCCATCTTCAGATTCACAGCCGTGAAAAACATCGAATCCTACAATTTTATGAAGAGTCGTAGAGCCATATCAAATTTAATTTAGTTCGAAGAATTTTAACGACCACTTTACTTTTTTTAAAATCATTCTTGAATTTATCTCAATAAATAGCTGAGATTTCAGGTTCTCACGGCAGCGAGCATGAAGGTGACCGTCTTCGGCCAATTTCTACAAGACCAGACGACGCAACATCCCAGGAGACGGTCGACTTCAATAAACACAAGAAGAATGTTCTCCGTCTGTTTTAAAAAACTAGAGCAGGGCTCCTCGGGGGGTTAGTCAAGTTTTTAAAACGGGGAAGTTGGTTGCGTTTTAAAATCTTGAGTAGGAAATTAAACCAACCCCCCCGAATGGGGGGTTAAAAAACTTGACCAACCAAACCAACTCCCCCCCCGAATGGGGGGTTAAAAAACTTGACCAACCAAACCAACTCCCCCCCCCCCGAATGGGGGGTTAAAAAACTTGACCAACCCCCCTTCGGGGGGGTTAGTTTAGTGTCTTACTCAAGTCATTTGTCAAGTCATTTGTTTGATGACGTCATTTTTTGATAGACGACAAATCACGAATTTTTATAGTAGAATAAGGCATCTTCGAAATTACAAAATATAATTTTCTTTCCTAATAAGTAATTTTAAAAACAATTCTGTTAGCGTCTTTTGTAATTCCTCACGTCCAGCGTGCTTGTTAAGTGAACATCATACTTAAGAATCTTTCTTAATCATTTCATGACTCATTTGAAAAACCTAAACTTCGTTCTTGGCACGATATTTTGTATCTGGATAATTCGTGCCTTTGGTAAAATAAAGTAAATTTCTGAACAGTGAATGCATTAATGGAATCTTCTGTCCGATGTGGGTTAACATCGATTTCTCTCCGTGTTCAGGACTGACAGGAAAGATGACAAATCGAATGATGAGACAGACTATGCTTAAGAGCTAAAACGAAATAAGTCTCTCTTTCAACGCGTCTCATTTTGAATCACCCACGACACCAGAGCTGCGATATGACTATTGAGAAGGCTATCGATAATGTTTCCGGGCGTCATCTACACGCTGGAATATGCATGAAGCCATCGGGCGAGCACTGTGACAGTGACAACACTCACTAAAATCTAAACAGATTATCTTTTCTCTATTACAGAGTTTATCAAGTTATTTAACTGTCAGACTTGATAATTCTGCCTGGACGAATAATGAAAAGGTAGCTAATGAAGACGACGAAGTTGAGTCCTTCACGTTATGTGACGTTCATTCACGATTTCAATACCAGAGCGTAATGAATTATTACGAAGTAGAAGTTATGTGACAAGATAAAGCAGCATTACTTGGCGTTTCGTAAATTACAAAACCTCTTCTATTCCTCAGCCAACTAATAATGATTCTATCACAGGATCAATACATTTCTGGGGCTGTCTGATGATTTTAATGTCGTCGGATTCTCCACTACTGTAAATATGAACTAAAAATCAATAAATATGTAGACCTAATTATTAATTTATACTATAATATTTAATTAGATTAACAAATTACAAACTCCAGTCAGGATACTGACCATTGTGACAGGTACATCTGACACGCACGACGTTTCGGGGCATTGTTCTACTCCAGTCTTCAGGTGAGTGGTTGTCATTATAGTGGCAGTATTTTTAAGACGCAGTGGTTGAAATAAATAGATATCAAGAAATATTAAATCGTATTCTTGCTTTACATTTATGTTTTAATGCTAAATATTTTGCTATCATCAGACGCACGTTGGCTTTCGACCGACATTTACGAGACTGCAGACTTTTCCAACAGGCCTAACGCAGGTTTAGAACGCGTTCCATATAAATAAACCGAGTTTATTATACGTCTCATTTAAAATTCTACTGTTTCGCCTACGCGTTTCCACCGTACGCCAGCAGACAGCTCGAGGCACGTACCAAGCACCATCAAGGACTTGTTGATGTTGTTGGCCTCCTCCAGAGTCTTCCCTTCGCTTTGTGTCTTCTTGGTCATCTCGCTGCCCGCCAGGTCGACGAAGTTGATCTTCCCTTGCTTGGAAATGAACACTCCGTCCTCTCCCATCTGTCAGCAACAAGCAACGAGTACCAGGGCTTACAGAGTTGCAGTGGCAATGTTTCACGCATGCTCACTGAAGACCACAAGCAACAGACAGTCGTTCACACACAGCAACATTTAAGAATTTAGTCCGTACCGCGAAGAAAACACAACTCTTTACCATAACAAAGATCAATTTGTTAACGTTGACCAAGAAAATAATCGCTGTTTACAGTGAGAATCACACGAAACACAAATTCAAAACGCAGTTAACTATTGTTCAAAGGGTCAAAGCGTAGTATCGGATATTTTCAAGATGAAGATAACATAGGTCAATCTCCTCCTTTTGTGTATCTTTACTCTGAATTAAAACCGGCCTCGACCTGCAAACTTTAGCACCGCGAGATATAGGTGACTCTTTATACGCGAGGGTCTGTTTATCACGAACTGCCGCGTATATCTAAAACGCGTAAAACGGGAAACAGCAAATTCTCGTCGATCTACTGAGGCCTTAATCTGTAGTACCCGGAGTAAAAATGGTGGAACATATCACTAAAACTGCGCTCGCAACTGAGTGGACCTGCGCGGCAGCTTCTCACCGTAACCGCGGATAGGATACTGATTCTCCTCATAACACTGTAATTTATTTTATTTTATTTGTAGTGTTCTGTCTGACGACAGGTCCATATGAACAGGATCCTTCCATCCTTTTCTCGGACTGGGACCTGTTCATATACGTTCTTGGCAGATGATCCAGAAGTGGGTTGCCATTGCCTTCTTCTGTGTGTGAAGGGAGTAATT